GGGCACTAATATGTAAGTGCTGTGACAAGTCTCGGTTAGTCTAACACAGTACACGTAGCAAGATTTAAAAATAAATAAATAAAAAGAAAACAAGTAGATATAATTGAAAAAGAATAGGGAACGCTAGTGTTAGAGGGTCTTTTTTAAAATAAAAATAAAACAAGAAAAAGAATAGAGAATGCTAGTCTTTTCATTTATTTATTTTTTAAGAAGACAAGTAGTAAGAATAGAAATAGAATAGAGAGCTCAAGTGTTAGAGGGTCACGTGTTGTTTTTCTTTCTTTCCTTAGAATTAAAATAGAGAGTGCTAGAGTTAGAGGGTCAAATGAAGATGGAAGAGATGTGTTTTAGCCGTTTCTTGAAGACGACTAAGGACTCAGCTGCTCGGATTGAGTTGGGCAGCTCATTCCACCAGGAGGGAACAGTAAATGTGAAAGTCCGTGAAAGTGATTTTGTGCGTCTTTGGGATGGCACTATAATGCGCCGTTCACTTGCAGAGCTAACTAATAAATAATAAACCGCTTTTAATAACTCATAAATACACTAAACTAATAAATACACATCACGTGCATTCCCACATCAGCTGACTTACAGCATCAAAACAAATGCAGAAGCTCCAGTCTCACCTCATCGCAGATCTTCTGCACCTCAGCAGTGGCTTGCTTCACCTCGGATGGACCTCCAACCATTGTTGCCATTGCTGTAATGTTTCGTTGATCGGTGTCGAGATGTAGAGAAACTGTGTTTTTGACAGTCCGGCTCACAGAAATGTCACTGCTACAGTATTTATGTGGTGTAGATCATATGATGGCATGTATGAGCCATCGGCGGAATGTACCATGTGTTCGGAAGAGGCGGGGGTTGATAAAAAACAATTTTACAATTTCACAGGGTTATGACTATAACAGTAATGATATACAACGAAATCATGTATAAAAAAAATTAGTACTTTTTGTTTTAACGTGAAATACATTTATGTACTATAACATCTGATATATCATGGTTATTTCCTCTTATATTTTGGTTTAGACCAACACAAAAGTGAGTAGAAATACAATTGTGGGCGTGGCTTATCAGACCAGGCGTTCTCTCTGATTGGTGAACTCCGCTGATATAAATAATAACTTTTCCTGTTTTAATTACACACTGTATATGTTCGATATAATGGCTTTTAAAATTACTTAATGAAATTATTAACTAGTACATTATTGTCATTTATTTTTTTGTGAAAACACGAGTAAAAACCAACTTTCACACAGAGTATATTAGTTTAGTTTGATGAAATACTGTGACACACCCTTATGATGAATATTGATTCATACAGGTTACTGAATCAGCATCTACTGTGTTTAGGTGGGAGTTTAGATTCCCACGAGAATCTGCACTATGACACATTAAGTAATACATTTTTTTTTTTTTTTTGATGATGCACTGTTAATCAGGTTTGGAGGGCAAAATAAACATAATATTAATTTAAATGTAATAAAATATATCAATTAAATACAATTTAAAATTAATATTTCTATAGGTGGCCCAACCCTGTTATTTATATTTTTATATTTCCTTTTATCTTAATTGTTTCACTGTAACTTAGGTGAATTTTCATTCTTTTCTGAAGGATCATGTGACACTGAAGACTGGAGTAATGATGCTGAAAATTCAGCTTTGCATCACATGAATAAATTACATTTAGCAATATATTTAAACAAAAAACAGTGATTTTAAATTGTAATGATATTTCACAATATTACTGTTTTTACTGTATTTTTGATCAAATAAATGCAGCTTTGATGAGCA